TCCAAACCTTCCTGATATTTGAAAGGTAAAAACATGCAAATGTTGCTCCAGGCCTGAACCGGGGAGCTGCTGTTTGGAGACAAACCCAGAAATGCAGGACATTAATCACAGGCTGATCTTTGTTCCCAGGCGAACGTCATGCAAAACGTTTCACCTGGACAGGGAAGCTGTTCCTCTGCCAGATCTTATTAAAGCAGCAGAAATGTATTTTTAAAGCCGCTCTGCAGTGTGAAGCTCCAATGATATTCTGATGAGCACGCATCTTTTCCAGTTTCTCAAAGCGACAACAGGCTGCTGACGGCGACGCCTTTCTGTTGCTATTCTCGGCTGAACTTTCTGAAATGCCAGTTTGGTGTTTTTAGACGAGCCGCTCCGTTTCCAGGCGGATCGCTCCGCCGGACTGAAGCAGCGACACGCAGAGACGTTCATGACTGACCCAACATTCAATCTACAAATCCAAAATCCAATTTACGAGTCACATGTCGAGGCTTTTAATTATGCTTTAATCAATCCAATGCAATTCAGCAATAACACAAAAATAATATTTAATAAAATTTAAATGTTTACTTTGGCTGACCACTGTCTTTTCAGATTGAAATGGCCTTTTCTAAAAAAACTATTTCCTAATATTATTATGTAGTAGATGTAATGATCTTATTAGTCCCTTTTTATTTTAAATGTCATCCGTACATTTGAGCTTTTAGCAGCTAACAGTCAGTTTCTGTGGGACCTTCTGCACATGATGTCACGCTGCAAACGTCTGTAAGAGAACAGCAACAAGCAGCTTCATTCACCTTGTGTGACACAGCGCCCCCTGAGGCGAGGCACTGCACTGCAGCGCCTGATTTTGACAAGTACAATATCACTACCAATATATTTTAATGTAGAGTGTACGGGTTGGTTTTCTCTGATGTCTTTTCCTTGTCGTGAAGCTGAACCCGGCTGGTGTTGCTCCGATCCGCCTCCATCTGTCCGGGCTTGTGTCTGGGTCAGGAATGCGCGGCACGCCTGGATCCGGGACCTGAGGTGTGTTTTTATGCCTCAGGCGGCAGCAGAACCATCCACCTCCCCCCGTTCTCACCCGGCTCTATCTTTATCGCCCCCTCGCTGCATGCATACAGTCACTCTTCTCTCCTTTGCTTTAATCTCCACACACACACACACACACACACGCACACACACACACACACACACACACACACACACACGCACACACAAGCGCGCTGGGAGCTGAGCGTCGCCTCTGGGAGATGGTCTGGCCGTTCGGTGTGTCAGGGGAAAAGCGATAGCAAAACAAAGAGGCTCTCTGAGATATCATCTCTTCCTCTCATCTGGCCGCTGTTATCTGCCGCTCCTTTTATTGCTTCATCGCGGCGGATCGCTGCCATTTGTCCTGCAGTCACAGCCTCGCTTCTCACACTTAACCTGCGGCCCGAGGAGTCGCTTCACACACCCATCTGGGTGAGAAAATCCCTCCCAAATCCACAACCCGCCCAGGTGCTTCAGGGTTTAATCAGTTTTCTCTTTCAAACACAATAAATCGCACAATTAACAGTTAATCTGATTTATTATGATGAATCGATTATTCAAATAATCTTCAACTAATTTACTCATCAAATAATTAACTGGAGGATAAAAACTGACAAAAGGTAATTTACTGAAACAAACTCAGCAATAATTAAACCAAAACTGCAGAAAATCTAAAGTTTCCATTTAAGATCAAATAAAAACTTCTTTGTCTGGAAATATGTTTTACTCAGAACTTCTTGAGTAAAACCTCCTATTAATCACCTTTTGCATCTAGTTATTAATTGGTTAATCAATAAATAATCAGCATCTCTGAATGTAGTTATTGCATAGAAACATTTACATAAAAAGTTATTTTCCATTTAATCTATTAACTGTGATCCAGATCAATAATTTTCCAAACTTTTCCAGTTTTTTCCTCTTATTTCTCCCCATATCTTCACCTTTTTGAAAATATTTTGCTTTTTAGCTCAAGTCAATGAATCCCTGAGACAAAACGGCTCCTAACCTGAAGATGTGACTCGTTGTATCTAAAGTGTTTTCACTTTTAGTTCAATTCTTGTGGTTGTTTGGGTTGCACTGCAAAAACACAACATCTTACAAGTATTTTCTCAAGTGTCTAGTGCAGTTTGCTTGAAATTAAAGAAAAAATACTCAAAATGATAAAGAGGAGCAAGATAAACGCTTAGAGCAGCCGTTCCCTCCTGGCCTGTGGGGGCGCTGCACCAACAACCACTGCAGGAAACGACACTAAAACCTCTGAAGACACTGAGAGCAACTTCCTGTTTCACCAGATGGAAACAAGATGGCGGCGTCAGAGTTCAGTGATTTCTCTTTAGTCTTTGGCTGAAGACCAGGAGTCATTTCTGCTGCTAGCGCTAGGCTAACATGTTAGCTTTGGTTGGATTTACCCAGAATGCCCTGCGGTTTTGTCCACTTCCTGCTTTCGGAGCGCTCTCTGGTCCGCTTGGCGTTCACATTCAAACCGAACCGGACCGAGGTTTGGAGACGGACCAGATTCTGATTAGCGTTCAAACCGAACCGGACTTTGACTAGGCAGCCGGACTGGATTAATAGTCGTCATGTTAGATGCATCAGCTCCCTGCCGTTTCGTTTCAGTTGTTTAGTTCTGGGCTGTGATTCTGGTTCTGGTTCTGTAGGCCCGTTTGTTCCCGGACCGGGCTGCCTGTTCATCACCGGTTCTCTTTTTAAAGACAGGAGAGCAGCGATAACCCTCAGCTTCCTCCCGCTGACTCTGGAGTCAGAATCAGCGCAGCTGCTGAGGACTGGAAAGTGGAAACTCATTCACTTCGCCGTTTCCTCACAGTAACCACAGCAACAGGCCAGGCAGCCGGGCCAGCCAATGGGGAGGCTTCGAAGGAGGCACAGTGATGGCGGCGTGAGGCGTGTGTGTGTGTGTGTGTTTGTGCGTGTGTGTGTGTGTGTGTGTGTGTGTGTGTGTGTGGTGTGTGTGTGTGTGTGTGTATGTGTGTGTGTGTGTGCGTGCGTGCATGTGTGTGTGTGTGTGTGTGTGTGTGTGTGTGTGTGCGTGTGTGTGCGTGTGTGTGTGTGTGTGTGTGTGTGTGTGTGTGTGTGTGTGAGGAGGCCGTGATGCCTCACACACAGGGTCAGCTGAGCGTTCACACGGCGTCTCGGTTACTCAGCGTTGCATCAGACGCTGAATGTTTCTGACAGGACCCAAACCACCTCAGAGGACGGAGCGGCTCTTCTTCTGCTCCCGCCGCCTGTTTCCTTCGGTTTCCTGTTCCTGTCTCACGTTACACTCTCAGGTTCAACGTTTCATCTTTCTGATGATAAACTGATTCAACTGCTTCCTGTTAATCCAATCGGATGCAGAAAGGAAGCAACAAAAACAAGTTTCACCAAGTTACCTCTCAAAAAAGGACTGGGCCAAGATTACTTTCTATGTGAATTAAAATCAATTACAGGACTGACTGTCAATAATTCAGGAAAGGGACAACTAAACATTGTAGCATCAAGCCAGAGGTACTTTCTATAGGACAGAAAACACAATCAAAACCAGAGTAGTAATGCCTCTGTTGATTTCTTGGACTAAAGATGAGACATGGATAAACAGAGAAGCACTGAGGCAGGTGTACTTTCCATCAGAAAGAAAATGAAGAGCTAGCGTTAGCGGCAACGAGTCTGCAAACCACAGCAGCTAAAAACAAAAAAACAGAATTAGAGAAAAAAACATAAAGATGACACAAAACCAGCAGCAGCAAAATCTCTGGCAATGATTTCAAGGAAAAGTTACGAGTAAATACATAAACACTGAGTGAGGAGTACTTTCTATGAATAAAACAGCAAAAGGAACACAGAGTGTGGCATCAATACTTATGTTTACATGCAAAGAGGCTGAATACAGAAACCCCAAGCCAGGTGTACTTTCTATGGGCAGGAAAAGGAAAGAGATATCAGAAGGTTAATGCGGCATTCAGCCATGGCTCTGTCCCGGAAAGAACCAGGGATCCTTTCCATTCAAAGAAAAAACCGGGTTATGGACAATAACATTTCCATTTCTGCCTCATGATTCTTCATTTCACCTCTGACTTTTTACTTCCTTCAGATTTGTTGTGTTTTCATCGTGAATTTGACCAAATATTAGGTTTATTTCATTTGAATAAAGATTAAACTGTTAGCAACATAAACATCCTGGGAATATTTTCACAAATTATCACAGCTGGTTTTCAAAATGTCAGACAGAATTGAGAAAGTGAATTTATTGCCTCATTAGCAGTGAGTTAAGATGTTTTTCTGTTTTCGGGCTTTGTGTGGAAAGTGACGCGTTGATGTTAAAACGGTTGAGGAAAGCTGCACAGCTGATCTCCGTCATCCCCGGTTTACTGTGTTTTCGCGGCTCTGGCGGCTCCTGGTCCAGCCTGCGCCGCTCCGGTTGGTTCGGCTGTTTGTCCAACAGCAGCAGGAGAGATGTGGGCGATGATTCAGAGCTCTGGCGGCACAAAGGCAGAGAACCTGACGACGAAATCAATTAAACAGAACTCAACTGAAAACACAGGAAATGTGATAAAAAGATTTATAAAATCAGGAACATAATGACTTCAATAGTATAAACTGTAATTTCTGTTTTTTATCTGAGTCATGGCAGATATTGATCCATCCCTGACAAAGAAATCAGAATAAGAGTGATATTTATTTGTTGAAGCTGCAGAATCAAACTTTTTTAAACCAAATTATTTATACATATTTGATCAAACTGCCATCATTTTGTAACAATTTGTTATGAGATCTCCTGAACCTCCTCAGTGAGTTTTTATTGTTGTCTAGAAAAATCAACCAAAACCATCCAATCAGTCAAGAGGCGGGTCTTAGCGCTGTGAATCAACCTCATGTACTCGCTTCCTGCTTTCATGTGTGCAAAAATATTTAAAAAAACTGAATGTTTAATTAACTTTGTCCCCGTTTTCATCCTCTGTCTGTGTTTATTTCAGGGTCGCCATGTCAAAACGGGCCAGCTCGCTGCCATCAAGGTCATGGACGTCACCGGAGTACGTGTCACACGCCCAGCATGCTCAGCGCTCTGGACAAGTTAGAGCTTTAAAAACGCTTGAACTGAATCTCTCCATGTGCTTGTTTTCATTCTCCAGGATGAGGAAGAGGAGATTAAAGCTGAGATTAACATGCTGAAGAAGTACAGTCACCACAGGAACATTGCGACATATTATGGCGCCTTCATCAAGAAGAACCCTCCAGGAATGGACGACCAGCTCTGGGTAGGAGTTAAATGTTACGGACTGTTTTAGATTTGGTCTGCAGTGTGTGAGCTGTTTTCGTTGCCCTGGCAGCTGGTGATGGAGTTCTGTGGCGCCGGATCGGTGACGGACCTGATCAAGAACACCAAAGGGAACTCCCTGAAGGAGGAGTGGATCGCCTACATCTGCAGAGAGATCCTCAGGGTGAAACAGAAACTCCAGGAACCCTAACCTGGTTCCCTGAGCAGCGCCAGGTTTTCTGTAGCTGTCAGCAAAGAATAACGGCGTTTACTCTGCATCTTTCTCCAGGGATTAACCCACCTCCACCAGCACAAAGTCATCCACAGAGACATAAAGGGGCAGAACGTGCTGCTGACGGAAAACGCAGAGGTTAAGCTGGGTGAGAAGCTGAACCACGGCTGCAGGGTGGGACGGCGGCCCTGGTCTGCGCCTCCTTCAGGACTCTCTGTGTTTCCACAGTGGACTTTGGTGTGAGCGCCCAGCTGGACCGGACGGTGGGGCGAAGGAACACGTTCATCGGGACGCCGTACTGGATGGCACCGGAGGTCATCGCCTGCGATGAGAACCCGGACGCCACCTACGACTTCAAGGTAGGCGTTTGTTGGCGCGTGAGGTCTGGATCCAACATCTGGATCTAACATCTGGATCTAATATCTGGATCCAACATCTGGATCTAATATCCGGATCTAACATCTGGATCCAACATTTGGATCCAACATCTGGATCTAATATCCGGATCTAACATCTGGATCCAACATCTGGATCCAACATCTGGATCCAACATTTGGATCTAACATCTGGATCTAATATCTGGATCCAACATTTGGATCCAACATCTGGATCCAACATTTGGATCCAACATCTGGATCCAACATTTGGATCTAACATCTGGATCTGATATCTGGGTCTAATATCTGGGTCTAACATCTGGATCTAACATCTGGATCCAACATCTAGCTCTAATATCTGGGTCTAACATCTGGATCTAATATCTGGATCCAACATCTGGATCTAATATCCGGATCTAACATCTGGATCCAACATTTGGATCCAACATCTAGCTCTAATATCTGGATCTAACATCTGGATCTAATATCTGGATCTAACATCTGGAGGGTTGCAAATAAATAAATAAATAAAAACCTGTTTTGAGGTTCGATGGCTCCTCAAACCATGAACGAGCCTCAGACCTTTGAGATCTACGTTCATTGGAGCTTCTTAAACTTAAAGACCCTCTAACTGTTCAAAGACACTTTAAAACTGAACTTGATCCTTTGTTGGATGTCAAACCTTTGCAGAACCATAAGAGGTCGTCAAATGGCTCATTGACCCTTAAATCGTTTGAGGGCCCTGCGTCTCGTCTGGACCTCACACTCTGTGAGGATGCAGCTTCTATGCACCACAAATCTGGAACAAACTTCCAAAAAACTGTAAAACAGCCGAAACACTGAGCGCCTTTAAATCTCACCTGAAAACCTCCTGGTTAGAGTTTTATTTGAAACATAATCAATTACAAATTTAATGATGGAACTTGACTCCATGTCATGTTTTGATTGTTGATTCGACGTTTCAAGACTTTGTGTTTTTGTGTTTATGATGTAAAGCTCTTTGAAATGTGCGACACACTTTAAATTTGATTGATTGATTGATTGATATATGAAAGACCTCAGACCTTTTTCAGGCTGTGTTTTCAGGGCTCTGATCCTGATGAGAACCTTCAGTAACTCTGTCGTCTCCGGACCTTTAATAGACGAGACGGTTGGACTTCAGTGTAAACTAGAAATGTAAACTAAAAATATTGGATTTTCTCTTTACTTTCTTGCTTCCAGCCAATAAAATCCAACACCTCGTCAGTCACGTAATCAGAGTCCTTGTAGCTGTGAAGAAGGATCACAAAGTGACCTTCAGAAAAATGTCACATCTGTTGGTTTTTGGATTCCTGGATTAAAACCCTGAACAGACAGAAACAGGAAACAGGCAGTTTGCACCAGTTGATGGTTGCTGATAGCTAGTAGCTTGTTGCTAGAAGCTAGTAGCCGGTACCTGGTTGCCAGTTGCTGGTTGCCAGCTTCTGGTTGCTGGTTGCCAGTAGCTGGTTGCCAGTTGCTGGTTGCCAGTAGCTGGTTGCCAGTTGCTGGTTGCCAGTAGCTGGTTGCCAGTAGCTGGTTGCCAGTAGCTGGTTGCCAGTGTGCCGCAGTGCGGACAGGACGAGCTCTGGGTCGAGTTGCTGCAGGATGAGCTTCTCCGCCATCAGCTGCGACCCTCCAGGTTTTCAACGCGTCAGGAAAGTTGTCTCCCAGGAAGCTAAACTCAGGAAATGTGATTGTGTTGAAACGGAGGCAGAACTGGGCAGATGGGATTCGTCTCTGTCTGTATTTTTACCGCTTGACGAGAACAGCGACCCGTGCAGCCGTCTCTCGGAGGCTGGAGGTGTTGAGTGGGTGACACGCTGTGAGGATGTTTGTCTCTCTGCAGAGTGATCTGTGGTCGCTCGGCATCACCGCCATAGAGATGGCAGAGGGAGCTCCACGTAAGTGAGATTACACTGACGAGCTGCACAGTTTGTCTCCAGAAACAATAATAATAAAATCACTCATTTTACATTTTCACTTTGGATTTTTCATTCATCAAATCTGATCTTTTCTCTTTACTTTCCTATATTTACTTTATGTTTCCTTTCCTTTTTCTCTCTCCTTGCCTCCTTCCCTCCTCAGCTCTGTGCGACATGCATCCCATGAGAGCGCTCTTCCTCATCCCCAGAAACCCGGCGCCGAGGCTCAAGTCAAAGAAGTGGTGAGTGTCTTAAAAGCGTTTCAGAGTTTGAACGTTCTTCCCGGATCCTGAACCGGGTCGGTTCTGCAGGTCCAAGAAGTTCCAGTCGTTCATCGAGAGCTGCCTGGTGAAGAGCCACAGCCAGCGGCCGAGCACCGAGCAGCTGCTGAAGCACCCCTACATCCGAGACCTGCCCAACGAGCGCCAGGTCCGCATCCAGCTGAAGGACCACATCGACCGGACCAAGAAGAGGGGGAGAGAGAGAGAGGTGAGGTTCTGATCGACCCGCTACGACCCGCTACGACCCGCCGTGACCCTGCAGCGTCTCCAAGGCTAACATGTCAGTTTTCCCCACAGATGAGACGGAGTATGAGTACAGCGGGAGCGAGGAAGAGGATGAAGACCGGGACATCGGAGAGCCCAGGTAGGAACAAATCTGGATCTGAAAACATTCCACTACCTCAGATTACAGCCAAGAACTGGATTAAACCGGGCGGCTGGATTACAACGTTAACATGTTAGCAATGTTAGCCTAGCTAGCATTACTTACTGTACATAGCAGTGTGTGTAAATAATGTAAATAATCATCTTTAAAGGGCCAGTGCTATTTGACCCTCTCCAGACACATGAGGTGAAATTAAAAACCTTATTTACAATCAGAAAGAACCTGCAGACTGATGTTCTCCTTCAATTCAATTTTGCATATAAAGTGTCATTATTTGACAAATAAATCCAAGTTGACACTTTAAAAGAACTTTTATTGCAACTTTTAGTTCAACTTTGCAGTAAAAGTTTCATTATTTACCAAATGACACTTTATGATAATGCAGAACCTTCAAATAAAGTGTTTCAATAAAGTATTATGAGCTGATTATCATGAGTAAAATTGGTAAGTTTTGGATTAAATAACTGATAAAAGTGAAACTCAGGGATCAACTGAAAACACAAAAATACCAAACAGTGAAAACTAAACTCAGATTGAATCCAGCAGTCGGTTTGAATGTCGGATTCAGACGCAATTAATGCAGCAAAAATCAGGTGGTAAAATTCATGCACTATCATAATTAACAATACTACAGGATTCAGACAATTTTTCTGTTTGTAAATTTGGGTGTTTTCATTTCTTAATGTTTCAGCTCAATCATCAAACATTCCCGGAGAGTCGACTCTGAGGCGGGACTTCCTGCGCCTCCAGCTGGCCAATAAGGAGCGCTCGGAGCTGATCCGGCGCCAGCAGCTGGAGCAGCAGCAGAACGAGGAGCACAAGCGCCAACTACTGGCTGAGAGGCAGAAACGCATCGAGGAGCAGAAGGAGCAGCGGCGGCGGCTAGAGGAGGTAGCTTCACGTTTTTACAATCCGGCTAATAATAGATGCTCCACATAAAAAACTCATAATCCTAACACAAGACAAATGAGCCCAATTACTGGTCGCCTGCTGCTATTTTAATTTGTGGAAAGCTGCCTCCGATGTTGGAGGAAACACACCTGTGTTGTTGGCGCCTCAGCGAATCAGAAAGCCTCAGAGAAAACACTCAGCTGACCCTGTGCTGTGAAAACGTTCCCACCCACAGCAGCAGCGCCGGGAGCGGGAGCTGAGGAAGCAGCAGGAGCGGGACCAAAGGAGGCGCTACGAGGAGATGGAGCAGCTCCGCCGGGAGGAGGAGAGGAGGCACGCAGAGAGAGAGCAGGTAGGAGCACACCTGGCTGATCAACCTGAGCACCAAAATATCCAGTCAGGGTTATTATCCTCTGAGAGCTACGAAGTATCAATTAATTTTTCACTGACTAGCAGTCTCACAAAAACTAGAATTACATCAGAATCTAAATGACTCAATTTTCAATGCTTATAAAAAAAAAAAGCCTAAATTAAAGGAACTAGATTATGAAGTCATAATAATATAAACATAATGACACAATGTCACCAGAAGAAAGTCCTAAAATTACTAGTAAATCAATAGCAGCAGGCAGTAGCATTAGCATTGTAATATTAGCATTTGCATCAGAATATTAATTTTAGTATTAATTAAGATTCAAATAATATAACACCTTGAATAGTGGTGATGGCGTTATTATTAGCATATTAGCAAATAGATAACAACGATGAGGGTTCTGGTACTACGATGCTAAAAGCAGCATTAGCATTTTTACTATTAGCAATTACTGTTAACATTAGGATTCTAATGTTGTCATTGTGCTCTGGCCATTGTTGGGATAGTCTTTTTGATAGCATTAGCATGCTAATATGGACGGCAGGATGCTAATATTACTGTTGGTATTGAAAAAGTAATATTAGCATTAGCATTAGAATATTATTAGCAGCATTAGAACTCAGCTATCACTGTTAGCATGCTTTCCCAGTGAAATGCCAGTGATTGTGTTATTGTTAGCATGCTAGCTGTGCAATAAGGATGCTTGTATCACTGATGTTTGAACAGTAAAACCAGCATCATTGATTTTAATGACATTGTGTGACACAGGTTGGATGTTTTCCTGACAGTTTTGATCACAAAGTGATAAACCCAACATGCAACAGTGGCTGTTATAACCAGGCCTGATTCTAAATACTGAAAATCGTTATTGAAGATGTTGTCTGCTGAATCCATTTGTTAATTAACGAGTCTGAGGTAGCAGTGAGATTCAGACTGCTGAGAGTCGGAAGAGGAACGGAGCTTTTCTGCAGCTATGCGTCATTAACATTCACTATTTCAGATAATAACATCTTCTTCTCCAAAGCTGATTTCAGCTCGGCTGTTTTATTATGAGCATGCTGCTCTGTTCTGCTAATTATAGCCCCCTGCTGCTTCGCTCATTTTATTTTTCATCTGTTTCTGAATAACTCTCTAATTTAACACTCCTTTATGAATCTACTTTTGTCTGCCCTCTTTCTTTCTATTTTCCCTCCACTATTTCCTGCTCTGCTGATGTCACTGGTTGCCTGGGGCTCTGATTGGCTTCTGTCTCGCCTGGTCGCTCTCTGATTGGCCGCGCCCTATGCGTGCTCTACGCTCTGATTGGCTAGGAGTATATCCGTAGACAGCTGGAGGAGGAGCAGAGGCAGCTGGAGATCCTGCAGCAGCAGCTCCTGCAGGAGCAAGCCTTACTGCTGGTAACGCCATGCAAACACACACGGCTGGTTCTGAGGCCCGACCCGCCAGGACCGGTTCTGATATTCAGTTCTGGTGCTGTAACCTTCAGGAAGGAACATCCAGAGCTGGGGAGTCCAGATTGGTGCCCTGCGGCCAAAACTGGTCAAGTTCATTAAATAAAAATGCTAAAGTTTTACTTCTTCTACCTGCTCATCAATAAACTGATATTTAATTAAATCTGTAAATCAGTAAAGATCCAAAACATAAACACGGATTTGGCCTGTTGCCTTATGAAAAAGAAAACCTGAGTGTTTTGGGTCATCAGTTGTTTTTGTGGGCCGAATGAAACCATTTCAAGGGCCACAAATGGCCCCCGACCCACACTTTGGACACGACTGCTCTGCAGGTCTGGACTCTTCACAACTCTTTCTAACAAATGAATGTGAAAATGTCACATATGATTCAGTTAATAATAACTAATTACTGAAATATTTAATAAACTGGAAGTGGATCCAAACGGATCCTTGAATCTCCAGAACAAACAAACATTTTGTATCCGTCACAAACTCCTGGTTCTATCTGACTGGATATTTAACCGCTCTGGTTGGTAGAACTGGTTAAGTTAATCTAAACTGATTTTACTGGTAAGAGAAATTGTTTAATATTTATTAAGACTGAGTCATTATTCCAGAAGTTAAAGGTTCGCCTGCTTTGTCCATTCAAACTGAGTTTTGACCACTTTTGGTTTTGAAAGAAATTCAAAGTAATTCTCATTCACTTTAAAGTAAAACAGCCCCTCAGCATTCTGCTGCCACCACCGTGTTTGACAGTTGGTAAAACGTTCTAAGGTCTGAAAGCTTCACTTTGGCTACATTTGGCCAAATTACAATTATTTCAATCTCAAAATCCAGAATGTTTTCTGAGCCGTCGCATTTTATTCAATTTTTATGTCATTTAAGGAGGACGAGCATCAGATTTCTGCAGCAGATGAAGCTAATTCCAGACGTAAATAATACCTGAGCCTAGCAGTTAGCTTTTCTTTCATTAGCTTCTGTCGTCTTGTTATGATTTGGTGACAATAATATCTGAATAACTTCAAATAAATACATAATTCATTTCATAAACAGAGCGCTCTTCTAAACTGTTCAACAGAAGTTTGATTGCAGTTGGACTTAATTAAAAATGTTACTTAAATTTTAAAATGTGCATGATGTAAAAATAATTTTAAAATGACTAAATATTGTAAAAACAAGCACTTTGGGGCATTTTCTGTGAATTCATATCAGTGAAACATGAAGCTAAATTTTTCAAGCTCATCAGTTCCTCCAAGATGCATCTACTTTAGAAATATTTAATCTTTTGTTTAATGATGAACATGATGTTGAGTGAAGCTGAGGCAGCAGTGGAGAGGAAGGAACAAATACTGCCACCTGCAGGCAGGACTTAGCATCACATAACTCATGTTTTTGTGAATGTTTTTGATCATCTTTATGGAAAATTTACTACAAATGTAGAAAAAAGTGTGAATTTGTTGATTGTTTTTGTGAATTTGTGGAAATAAACTGGAGGGACTGATTGATGTAATGTGCTAAAAGTGTTTAGATTTGATTTATAAAATAATATTGAAGAGCAAACATTCAGCCTGAACTCCTGTGGCCTCTTTCCTCTGCAGGAGTACAAGAGGAAGCAGATCGAGGAGCAGCGGCAGGCGGAGCGGCTGCAGCGGCAGCTGCAGCAGGAGCGCGCCTACCTGGTGTCGCTGCAGCAGCAGCAGCAGGAGCCGCCGCGGCCGCCGCAGGACAAGAAGCAGCTGTACCACTACAAGGACCAGGCGCCGGGCAGCAACGACAAGCCCGCCTGGGCCAAAGAGGTAACCTGAGGGGCAGATGGGGGGCGATGGGGCTGCTGGGGGCAGATGGAGGCTGCTGGGGGGGCGATGGGGTTCTGCTGGGGGGTGATGGGGGCAGCTGGGGGCTGCTGGGGGGCGATGGGGGCCCGGGGCCCTTCACTATGAGGCCAGGTCAGAAAACAGGGGCGTCCTGTGAAACTGTATTTCCATGCAGATGACTTGATCAGCTTAGAAAAAAATATTTTAAATATTTAATGTCTTAAAGAACAACTTCATGTTCCTGATACGACTTTCCTCCTGTGATTCAGTTTCTGTTTTCCAGCAGCTTGTTGAGTAAACAACAAGAACAGGAAGAGCTGGAAACGTTTCATGTGTTTTTAATCCACAGGAACAGATCCAGAGGAAACTGGACTCCAGGTTTTGGGTGATTTTCTTCCCTTCAGGCGGTGACTGTAAAGAACCAAACGCTTTTTTATTCCTTGATTTTCCTCTTTACAGATGGATGAAAGAGCTCGTCTCTGCATGGTGGGAAAATCCACCAATAAACACGTTTCTTTGCAGATCAAACATTTGAAAAGTGGCATTTTGAATTGGTGAGCCGACGGCTCAATAAAAGGCATCAATAAGAGCCTTTAAAGCAAAACTCTTTATTTAGATTTGGTTCCGTTTGGTTTTACAGACTTTAACTGATTCCTGATTCACTAAAGAGGAAAGAAAGATTCACTTCCATCTTTGTTTTTATCTTCTTCTTTCCTTTGAAGGAAGAAGACAGAAAGAAGGAATTTTCTTAAGAAATATTTTTAACTAAATCTAAGAAAACAGCATTTTGAGCTGTTTCAAAAATCATTATTTTTGAAACGACTGTTGAAAATATTGAACAACTCAGGTAATAAATGGTTTTAAAGCAGGATGATGAAATTAAAAAGTAAATTTAACCAAAATGTTTCAGGAACTTTGACCTCTTTCATATCGGAGAGTTTTTATTGTTTCCATGATTTAATTTTACAAAAGCTTTATGAAAATGTTTGGATGAATTTCAGGTAAAACAGTTAAACTCTGGTTTCCGCCTCACCAGTGGGTTTCGCTATCACCCCTGACCTTTGACCCCAGTGCCTTCCTGTAAACTGGCTGCCCTCCAGGTGATGCGCCGCGCTCAGAGCAACTCGCCCCGCGTCCCGCCCAAGAAGTACCACTCCTTCATGGAGACGCGGGACGTCAACCTGGACAACCTGCTGCTGCCGGGTTACCGGCCGCCCAGGCCCCGCCCCCCGTCCTACCCGGCCCACGTCAGCCCGACCCGGGACAACCTCAACCTGCCCAGGATCCGGATCACCTGCCTGCCGGAGCCGGCCGTGCGGCGCCAGAGTCCCGGCGGGAGCCCCGTGAGGCAGCCGGAGTCCAGGGGGCGGAGCCCCGCCCGCCGGGTCAGTCTGGAGCCGAACAGAACCGCCCGCTGGTCCTGACGGGCCCCACCGGACCCGATCGGACCCTAACCCCATTAACAGCCTGTTTCTCTAACCAGGTCTCCTCATATCCTCTAACTCTGACCGCCGTGGCTCACATGGTGATTTTTGTTCCTTAAAAACGTTCCAACTTTCTGGATTCTCTGTCCGGCTTTTCCTCAACAAAACCTCTGAGCTTCGGGAATCTCTTCGTTCAGGGTGGTTTTAAAGGAGACCTGTTATGCAAAATGCACATTTGAACATTTTTATTCTTTCATTTGGATTTCAACCCCAGTGGACCTCTGATTGGTCGGCTGGTTTTACTGCTGTCTGCTCTGTACAATGGCTGCTGGAGAAGGAGAGTGTTTTGTTCTTGACTCACCATCCAGAAACCACTTGCTGCATTCTTGATGGTTGCGCAGGAGGCTCCATTTCTGCTGTTCAAAGTTGTGTTTGCATGACTGCCCCTCTGTTTGGAGCCATTCCAACATGTGAGTGTAAACGTTGAGTTGGGGGCGTGGCCAGCAGCAGAGAGCAGTAAACGGCTCGTTCTGACAGGAGATCAGATGTGAGAATCATTTTGTGGGGAAAATGTGCAGAACATGTTTTGTATCGACTGTAGACCGATCCTAACCGGTTCAAGGAAGCATAATAGGTCACCTTTAAGGATGTTTTGGTGAAGATTATGGCGTCTGTTCAGTCTTTGGGTGACTGCAGCGACTCATCTCCAAGTAAATGTTTCTTAGTTTATAAATTGGTCCAACAGCCTTCAAAGCACCAGATTAAGACTGAAAACATTTTCTTTCCTCCTCAAACTTTCTAACCTTCTTTTTTCTGCTGACTGGATTCTTCATGTCACTAAAATGGGATTAATGTGTTTTACTGCATGATGTTTGTTTTGATGTCTAACAGGAATTAACGTCTACAGCTGATCTCACGTTTCCTCCTTCAGGGTTCTTCTGTCTGTTTGTCCAGGTTCTGTTTGTGGTTCTTGGAGCTCAGGGAGAAAAACCCTCTAAATGGAGGCAACAGCATGTGAAAACCCCATGTAGGGCAGATCTGCAGGCCCGCCCCCTAGTGGTCGCTGCTGGACAGATGTAGGGCATCTGCAGCTATTTTCAGCTGGTCTATCCCCATCACAGCCTCACAGGGAGGGAAACTTTCCTCAAAACCTGAGCTCAGTTTAGGAGAAAGTTTATTTATTTATGCTGGAAAACAATCTGGCCTCCAACCTGCTTCACTTTTTACCCCTGGAAAGTGAAAGATGTTCATATTTTAACCTTTTTATATGAATAAACTCATAAACTAGCTGAGAAAACCAGAGGTAAACATGTGAACCAGGAAGCGAACGCCAGCTGAGAGCGGCGGACATGTTGGCTTGACGCTGAGTGACGGCGGTCTGCTGTTCGCCAGGTGGAGGAGCATTATAAGATGAACAGACAGGATTCTCCTGCGTTGCAGCATAAAGTCTCCAACCGGATCTCCGACCCGGCCCTGCCGCCCCGATCCGAGTCCTTCAGCAGCGGAGGGATCCAGCAGGCCCGGACGCCGCCCATGCACCGCTCCATAGAGCCGCAGGTCAGAGGTCACAGAGCACTGGGCGGGGGCGGGGTTTACTGGACGTTTAATTGGTTGGATGGTAGAACCTGGTATTTCTGGTGTTGTGTAGAACTTTGTTCCCCGTCTATCTGGAGAACGGTTAGCTCCATGGTGACAGGCAGCAGATGTTTCGTCACGGGTTCAGAGTTCACTAGCAATCCGTCCGCTAAGTGGGAACGGGTCGGAAACTCGGGGACATACAGGGAACCAGAACCAGTCTGACCCAGTCTGATCAGTCTGACCAGTCTGACCAGTCTGACCCAGTCTGACCCAGTCTGACCCAGTCTGACCAGTCTGACCAGTCTGACCCAGTCTGACCAGTCTGACCAGTCTGACCCAGTCTGACCCAGTCTGACCCAGTCTGACCAGTCTGACCAGTCTGACCCAGTCTGACCAGTCTGACCCAGTCTGACCCAGTCTAGTTAGCTGCTGGTTCTCTTCCTGAAATGTTTCCTCTCCTCCTTCACTCCTTCCTGCTTCCTGATCACATGCTAACACCTCCTGCTCTTCCTCCTTCACCTTACCTTTCTCCTGCCTGTGTGTGTGTGTGTGTGTGTGTGTGTGTGTGTGTGCCTGTGTGTGTGTGTGCCTGTGTGTGTGTGTGTGTGTGTGTGTGTGTGCCTGTGTGTGTGTGTGTGTGCCTGTGTGTGTGTGTGTGTGTGTGTGTGTGTGTGTGTGTGTGTGTGTGTGCCTGTGTGTGTGTGTGTGTGTGTGTGTGTGTGTGTGTGTGTGTGTGTGCCTGTGTGTGCCGTGTGTGTGTGTGTGGTGCCTGTGTGTGTGTGTGTGTGTGTGTGTGTGCCTGTGTGTGTGTGTGTGTGTGTGTGCCTGTGTGTGTGTGTGTGTGTGTGTGTGCCTGTGTGTGTGTGTGTGCCTGTGTGTGTGTGTGTGTGTGTGTGTGCCTGTGTGTGTGTGTGTGTGTGTGTGTGTGTGTGCCTGTGTGTGTGTGTGTGTGCCTGTGTGTGTGTGTGTGTGTGTGTGCCTGTGTGTGTGTGTGTGTGTGTGTGTGTGTGTGTGTGTGTGTGTGTGTGTTCAGATGGCTCACCTGGTGCAGGTGAAGAGTCACGGCCTGTCGGGCTCCCAGTCCCTGTACGACCCCCACGGCGTGTCCTCCGCCTCGCCCTCCCCCTCCCGGCCCCCCATGCCCCGGCAGAACTCCGACCCCACGTCCGACACCCCCCCTCCCCCGCCGCTGTCCCGCCTGGCGCCCCCCCTGGACAAGCTGGACCGCAGCTCCTGGCTGCGGCAGGACGACGACGTGCCGCCCAAGGTGTCTGCGCGCCGCCGGCCGCATGAACCTGGCTTCACGTTCCGATCTCGGTGTTCTGGATTCGTT